TTTCTACCCCCATTCTCTATCTATCTATCTATCTATCGATCGATCTATCTATCTATCTATTTATCTATCTATCTATCTCTATCTATCTATCTCTCTCCCTATTTTATTTTATTTTGTTTTGTTTTTGTGCTAGTTTGTATTAACAGAACGGCTTCCAATCCTTAACTAGCCGTCTCGGAACACATTTCACGACCAATTTCTATCGGAGAAGGATTAAAGCCTCTCCCCGGGTAAAGGTTTTAATTTTTGGCGAGTTTTAAAAACGTATTATCGAGCAAAAAAGGTCAGATTACAGTTTACACAGACACACACACGCGCGCACACACATACACACACACACACACACACAAACACAAACACACACGGGACACGAATAGTCACACATGTATACGAATAGTCTTTCGGATGGTTATACAAAAGGGATTGCCGCTGACAAAATAGCAGTCCTATACTTCTTCAGGTGTCAGGTCTGGAGCAGACATTAACGATAATGGTACTCAAGTCCTTCTTGATGTCTGTCTTCCTGATCAGCTCAGACTCTCTCTCTCTCTCTCTCTCTCTCTCTCTCTCTCTCTCTCTCTCTCTCCCCCTCTCTCTCTCTCTGCTATTCGTTGCAAAGTTGTTTAGGCTGTCTGTGCATGGTGTTCTTTGTCTTTCTCTGGTCTTTTTTCCTCCTGTCTTTCCACACAGCAGCAGTTTTTCTAGTCCATTTGAACTATTTATATTGTATGTAGCCAAAGAATCTCAGTTGTCATTTTCTGATGGTTCTGATTACCTGTGTTGATCTTTCACAACCTGCCACTTGGAGCACTTTAAAAAATTGTTTTTCTCTCTGTCCATGAGATTCTGAGGATTCTCCTTACATATCACATTACAAAGGCCCCCGTACTACTAATTATGATATGCTATAATATAATAGTACTAATAAATAACATTTGTAAAGCGCATATTATTCAGGCTCGACAGTAAGCTCTATGCGTTTTACAGTAACGCATTACTGGTATATTATATTGTTATCACCCCAGCAGACCATAGAACATTCAGAAACATTCTCAGCCTCCCGAGAAGAATACAGCGCAAGCAGCTGATTATCTGTCCCCGTCGTTCAATGCAAGACAAATTCTGAAGTTATGCAAACTGAGCCTATAAATGTGAAACTGTGCGATTCTGTTAATTTTAACAAAGAATGATAAAGGAAAATAATCAGAAACAATAGCAAAAAATGATCAAATTTTGCTAAATTATGCGGGGCACATAAAACTACGGGGACACGATTATGAGCGCTCAAACACTAACAACCTGAAAAGATCTTTCCCTGTCTATAGCTAGGTACCCATTCCCACCTGGGTGAAGTGAGGAAAATTCGTGTAAAGTGCTTTTCCCAAAGACAGAATGTCGGGCCCCTGACGGATTCGGACCAACGACCTTACTGCTGGGAGTTTGAGGGTCTAACCGTCAAGCCAACGATGCCTAATAGTAATAGTAATATGGAGATTGATTATTTTCTTTATAAAGGACAAAGGCCACCATGAGTTCTACAAGTAACCGGTACCCCGGAGAGGTAGACGAGGCGTACCCCGCCCCTTTCATCGACGCTCCTTCCCCAGTGACCACGAGCAAGCCAGGACAACTGCCACACAGCGAGATACAACGCTTCTTCAAAGAGGTTGTTGTTGTTGTTGTCGTTGTTGTTGTTGTTGTTGTTGTTGTTGTTGTTGTTGTTGTTGTTGTCGTTGTTGAAGTTTTAAATTGCGCATCATCATCATCATCATCATTATCATCATCATCATCATCATCATCATCATCATCATCATCATCTTTTTGTTTCGTTCTCTACTATATTCCAGTGTTATTGTCTACATCTTTATCCTACTGTTCCCCATCTCCTTATGGTCGGAATGTAAGTCCTTTATTCTTCAATTTCAAGTACATTCGGTTTCCTTTCTTTATATTTCCGTGTGGATTCCATCAATTCTTTGTGTGTGTGGGAAAGGGGGAGGGGGTAAAATTCGTTTTTGTTTTTTTCAAGGTGCGTCGAAGTCACTTCCAATCTCTTTTTGAATTTTAGGCCTTTCTTAACACATTATAATATTTTATTTTATTTTACTTGCTCCCCAATTTTCATTTTCTATGGTGTCAGACCACTACATTTTTGGGGAATTTTCTGTGCAACCGTTGACAAATGCCTGTAGCTCTTTAGAAGTTTGTTTTGTTTATGTAAGTTTCCATGTTTCCAATCCATAGAACAGAATACACATTGGACATAATTTGACACTAGTACATAGCAATTTTTTTATCTTGGTTCCTGCTCTTATAATTCCTGATTCCATAATTTTCGTAGTTGTGTGAAAACACTTCTTGCCTTGACAAATCATAAACAGGAAAAGAAGATTGTAAGCATAACCCCCCCCCCCCCCCCCAAAAAAAAACCCCTTAAATCTGCGTACCGGTACGTCGTATTGGGTAAGAAAAACGAAAATCTGAAGAGGCCAGCATTGTA